TTGAAATTTAATTCCATAATCAATTCATATTAAAATTAAATCAAATTAAATCACAGTCAACACAGATTAGTTGATTGATTTTTCAGATTAAAAGGGATTAAATCCCTATAAAAGAACCAACCAAAAAACACACAAAAGGGGATTTCAAAAAATAAAAAAGAGAAAATAGTGGAACAAATTGAAGAGTATTAGTTTCTAGTACTTGGGATCAATAGGTTTTTTAAGATTTCTGGAAGAAAAAAAAATCATACAAGGGAAGAGGAAAGAATAAAAATATTAAAGGGGTTTAGGTTTTTTTTTATGCTAAAATTTTTGAAATGAAGGATGAAAAGTCATAAGGGGAGGAGTTTAGGTTTTTTTTTTCTTATTTCTATGGTTTCTTGAAATTTGGCAGAGTTTTTCTATTTTGGGATATTATTAGATTTTCTGGGGTGGCTGTTTTCAAGGTTTGAGAGTCTCAGAATTGTGGATTTGATTTTTGGTTTTTAGAACTCACGATTGAATTTTTAGGAAATTTACTGGAATTTTCTTTTGAAGTTTTGAATGGCTGGGTTTTTCTAGGTTTGTATATGAAATTTCAAGCTTTTTCTATGAATTTTTTAGCAATGGTTTAAATTTTTCGGTGAGTACACAAGAGTCGAAACAACTTTTTTGGGTGGTTCTAGGTTCATTTGAAGATCCTGGCAACCATTTGAAGATTTCTGCATCGAAATTTGTATTTGCTCGGGATTTTGGAAACTTTGAATTTCTCAATTGAAACATTTTAGAGAAAAGGTAAAGCAGATAAGTTAGAGAGATAGGACAAGGCAAATTGAGAAAAATGTTGGAATTTGGGTTTTTATACCCATAGAAAACGAGTCATTTTGGCAAAAAGGTTGACTTGTTCAACCCATGTTGGATCCGTATGCCACCCCCTTACACAACCCAACTCGATCACACGTATTCTCTTTCCTTTTTTCACTCTATTTTCTGTTTTGATTTTATTTTTATTTTTTTTATTTTATTTTTATTTAATGTTTTATTTATTCCTTTCTTCATATTTTATTCAATATTTTAAATCGAAAAATACATCATTTATTTTTTTAAAATGCCTTTATGAATTTCATTTTATTTATTTATTCAAAAAAAATTAAAAAAATGTTTCTAAAATAAATTCACGAATCTTACCAAACTATTAGAAAATCTTTCATGAATTTAAACTTTTATGAATTTTACCAAATTATTGAAGAATTTCATAACTTAAATTTTATATAAAAATAACTAATATTAGTAAAATATGTCATTTTGATCCTACCAAACCATCGGAGAATTTACATCTTAAATTAAATTTTATCAAACTATTGGAAGATTTAATTCAGTTTTTAAAAATAAATTTATCTCACCATACTATTGGGAGATTTGCATCAAAGTAAATCTTACCAAACTATTGAAAGATTTTACTAATTATTTTCAAATAAAATATACTAATGAATCCGAATATGGAGCCTCTTCAGAGTGAAACACTAGTCTCCATAAATACTTTTGAGGTAAAAGAATTATTTTAAATTATTACCAAACTATTTAAGTAATTTTAAGATCAATTTTCAATACTAAATATTTTTGGTAAATCATAATTATGGTTAAGGTTTAGATAATTTGAAATCAAACTGGTACTATACTTTGGATAGGTACTGTGAGAGTATTATAACTTTTCTCATATGTAATCGTACTCTCGAACTTTAAATCTCGTTTTGTGATTCATAATCTACTATTTAAAGATATTTAAATCAATCTTGGGACTTCTCTTTAAATGAGACAGATTTTGTTAGGTAGCCAATCGTACCTAAACAAAAAAAATTAATAACAACTACTTAAGTTTATGTCTAACGATAGATCTATGAATCTATATGTTTTAACAGTATTATATCACATGTTACTTTCTTTCTTTTTTTTAATAAATTTCTATTTAATACTTTTTTTTACCTTTTTTATTTTATTTTATTTTTTATTTATATTTAATAAATATTTTAATTTTATTTTAAATAAAAGCTCAACTTTTTCTTTTTTTAAAATTTTTTTGCTTTTTTTGCTTTTTCTTTTAATTAGATCATTTAAAAAAAGTCTAAGAATATGTACACTTGACATCCTATTTCACTTTTTGGTCTTTCATATTTTTTTGTTTTTTAAATATATGAATTTTACAACAAAAAAACTGATAAATAAATTTTTTTAAAGAAAATCAGTTGAGGTATGGGTGACAAAACAATCCATATATGAAGAATTTTGATTTATTTGGATCCAATAAGTGCATTTTTTGAAATTTAGGATCGAGTCAAAAAATTTTTTCAAAAATCGTTATCAATCATATGCGAGTTTAAGGCATTTCGCCCAATCCAGATATATATTATAAATATAGATATATATTTTTTATTATTTATTTAATTTTATATTTATATATATGTATAATTATAATAAAGTTATAATTTAATACCTTAATTTAATAAATTCACTTTGTATCCCTATTTGGCTCCATTTTCTTATAATTTCTTTTGTGTTTTTAAGTTTTCAATTTTTTAAGAAAAAAAAATCAATAGATGTAAAGAAGACAAAATAACCTACATTTCATAGGTTTGATTTGCCTCAATCCAATATGTGTGGGATTTTAAAAATTTTGGATAGAGTCGAGGTTTTTCTTTTAAAAATTGATATTGAGTTGAGGAGAATTTAGGATGTTTCATCTTATATTAAGTATATATATATATATATATAATTATATTTTAATTATTTATTTAATTTTATATTTAAATATATTATATTAATAATATTATTATTTAATATTTTAATTTAGTAAAAATATTATATTTATACATAATTAAGATATAATTCATCCATCATCCATCCATCTATTATATAAATTTTACAAATATTAATTTTAGTTTGACTCTCATTCAAGATGTCTACATGACATATTATGTTTGTTTCATTTTTTTGCATTTTTTTCCTTTTCCTTTTTTTTTCAAATTTTTTGGCTTTTTAATTTATTTCAATTTAGATAAATTTTGTGGGAAAAAAAAAACCCAATGGAAATGTCCACGTGATATCTTAATTTAATTTCCTTATTTTGTCTTTTTTTAATTAAATAAAATTTTCAACAAAAAAACATATGGATAGGAATGGTAAAACATTTCCTATCCGATGGTTTTTTATTTAACTTGAATAGATAAGGGTAATTTTTTTATACTTTATACTTTTTCTTTTTTTTTTTCATTTATTATTTTTAAATTAAATAAATTTTGTAAGAAAATAATATAAATAGAAGTGTTTACGTTGCACCTCTATTTATTTATTTTCTTTCGAATTTTTTTATTTTTTTTATATTTTTCAATTTGATAAAATTTGTAACAATGAGTTAGTTGATAAGAATATGTCTTTTATGTTTTTAATTAGATAAAAGTTTTTAATATTTTGTTTATTTTTAATATTTTGTTTATTTTTAATTAATAAAATTATTATTTGATACTTTAATTTAAGATATTAACATTTTTAGCTCCAATAAGATGTCCACTTAGTGCCCAATGATTTTTCAATTTTTTTTGTTTTTGTTTTTTTTTCAATTTTTCCTTTTTCTCTTTTTTTTTTGTTTTTTTATACTTTTTTAATTAAATTAATTTTATGAAAAAAAAAAAAAGAGGCTAATAGAAATGTGCCCATGGTAGCCCTATTTGACTTGTTTTCTTTCAATTATTTTTGAAAAATTTTTAATTAAATAAATTTTGTAATAAAATATTTCAATTGATAGAAATATCAAAACAATTCGTATCCAATATATTTTGATCCATCTTGAGCCGATAAGGCCAATTTGTTTTTAAATAAGGATCAAATTTGGATGTGTCAAGGTTTTGTAAGAGAAATGAATCAATATAGAAGCATGTTATCACCAATTTCAAAGTATATATAAAGTATATGTTTTGTTATTAATTTAATTTTATGTTTATATATGTATTATATTAATAATATTATTATTTGATATGTTAATTTAAAAAAATTAATTTTTTTTAGCTCAATAAAGGGATCCATGTGACAGTCTTTATGAAGTTTTTTTTAATTTGTTTAGTTTTTTTAATTTTATCTTTTTTTCACCTTTTTAGATTTTTTATTCTTCATTTTTATTTTTCATTAAATATATTTTGTGAGAAAAGGAAATCAATTAAGGTATTTATATGGCATTCACATTTGGTTTTTTACCTTTCACCTTTTTTAGTTTTTTAATATATTTATATTTGATATACTGTTAGTGTATATATTAATAAATTAGATGATAACACCTCATTAATGAAACAAATCAGATTAATGAATAAATTTTTAAAAAATATTAATTTTTTTATATTTATTTTAAAGACTAATATTTACTCGTTAATAAATTTGTATTATTTGATGTACTATCTATTTATAAAATTTATATATTAATAATACATCGAATATCAATTTTTAATTAAAAGATTTTATAATAGAAAACTAATAAATGAAATAACAAAAAACAATTTCAACCTGTCATAATGCATAAATATCCATCAATATAACTCACGACTCCATTTGTTTTTCAAAAAATGATTTTCAAAAATTAATTTTTAAAAAGAATTTATATTTTTTGAATTGAAATAAATTTTTTATTATTCGAATGAATTAATAAAAAATATTTTTTTATTTGATTGTTTTGTAAAAGAATTATTTTTAAAAATTACTTTTTGCCATGCAAATATAGCTGTACGATGAGAAGCCAAAAAAACGAAAGGCAAATTTATTAATCATCAGAAAACGCACGAGCATCCATCAATGTAACTAATATGTAGAATGAGAAGCCAAAAAGCAAAGGCAAATTTACAACGCCCAGTGGTGAAAAATTTTTTTAAAAAAAAGTACAAAATGGAAAAGCAATAATGGGCAAACAAAATCAATGTTTGTGGACGCAGTGCAGGAGATCAGTCCTCGTAAATGGCCATCCTTAAGTGTCATCGTCGGCTTTGGACTCTTTCTGTTCTAGCCTTTGGCTGCCTGTCCTCTCTATCTTTTCTCTAACTTTTCTGCATTGAAATTTCTCAATCTTTTCTCAAACAACAAAAACCCAATTCCCCTTTGATTTCCTTTTGCCCCTTTTTTTTCTCCTTTCATACAATCTCCTATTCTCTCCTTCAGATAAAGTCAAATAAAATTCAATCTCCTATTCTCTCCTTCAGATAAAGTCAAATAAAATTCCCAATCATTTTGTTTTGCCTTTCAAAGGTAAAAAACTTTGAGTTTTTTACCCCATTTTAATGGCTGAATTTGAAGATATTGGAGCTGATATTAGGTAAAGCTTCATATCTCTTTTTCGATAAAAAAAAAAGTAAACCCATGATTTTATTTTATTTTTATCAATTCTTAATTGAATATCGGACGATTTATGGAGTAATCGGTTAGGGTTTTGTTGATTTGATTATGCATGAATTATGGGGTGCATTTGTTTTGAATATATTTTTATTTGTTTAGAGTAACTGTAAGTAATTGTACCTTTGGAAGCAGGCTCTTTTATGAATAAGAAATGGGATATGGTTATTATTTTATTTGATTTGATATAACACTTGTGTGTGGTTGGAATTAGGAAGTGATTGAGATCAAGATATATCTTGATTGTATAAAGGGATTTTTTGGCAGACTAAATAACATATTGAAATATTCTCAAATTTTATTGTTTGGTTTATTAACTTTAGCAAGGTAAGAGAGGAAATGGAAATAAAATTCGAATGTTATCATTTTTTTTTTCTGGGGCCAAGTGCAGGGAAAAGATTCAAGTTTTATGCCCAACACAACTATTGGGACCAGTTTAGGTGTAGGTTTTTGTTTATTGTAGAATAAAAAACGAAGCAATAACTAAGGTTAAAATTTTGGTTTCTTCTTTTATTTTGTCCTTTTCGTCCAACAAAGGAAGATTTTATTGTTGTTTGAGTTAATGGAGCATGTTGATGGTTGTTGATCTGTTGGGTTGACAGTTCTGACATTGAAGGTGATGACTTAAGATGTGAAAATATAGCAGAGAAAGATGTCAGTGACGAAGAGATTGAAGCAGACGAGTTGGAGAAACGAATGTGGAAAGATCACATCAAACTCAAAAGGATTAAGGAAAGACGGAAGATTGCAGCCCAACAGGCTGCAGAAAATCAAAAGCCTAAGCAGACCTCTGATCTGGCTCGGAGGAAGAAAATGTCCAGAGCTCAAGATGGGATTCTTAAGTATATGTTGAAGCTAATGGAAGTTTGCAAAGCACACGGATTTGTGTATGGAATCATTCCTGAGACAGGTAAGCCTGTAAGCGGTGCATCAGATAATTTAAGAGCTTGGTGGAAAGAAAAGGTGAAGTTTGATAAGAATGGGCCGGCAGCCATAGCCAAGTATGAGTCAGAGTGTTTAGCTATGAGGGAGTCTGATAACAATAGAAATGGAAACCCGCAGAGCAGTCTCCAAGACCTGCAAGATGCTACTCTTGGGTCCCTCTTGTCTTCTTTAATGCAGCACTGTGATCCACCTCAGAGAAAGTATCCTCTAGAAAAGAGAATTCCTCCGCCTTGGTGGCCAACTGGGAATGAAGAGTGGTGGGTAAAGCTCGGGCTGCAACAGGGTCAAAGCCCTCCTTATAAGAAGCCACATGATCTTAAGAAGATGTGGAAGGTTGGAGTGTTAACAGCTGTGATAAAGCACATGTCACCTGATATTGCAAAGATTCGAAGGCACATACGCCGGTCAAAATGTTTACAAGATAGGATGACAGCAAAGGAGAGTGCAATTTGGTTGGGGGTTTTGGGCCAAGAGGAAGCTCTGATTCAGCAACCTAGCAGTGATAATGGAACATCCGGCATAACTGAAATGCCTCAAGGTGGTCGTGGTGATAAGAAGCAATCTGCTATCAGTAGTGACAGTGATTATGATGTTGATGGTGTTGATGATGGAGTATGTTCAGTTTCTTCCAAAGATGACAGGGGAAATCAACTGACAGATGTGGAGCCTGTGGCTTATATAAACAATAATGATTCCCATGCAGTCCAAGAGAAGGAGCCGGTGGAAAAACAACATAGGAGCAAGAGACCTCGTTTAAAACCAAGCCATGGTGATGAACAACCTGGGCCAAGCCATGGTCATCGACAACCTGGACCATCTAACAATGAACATGTAAATGCTGAGTCAAGAAGAACTTTGCCTGACATCAACCAAACTGATGTATCATTTCTGGAATATCAGATGCCTGACACTCAACAGGAAAATGATGCAAGCACAGCATTGGGGCATGTGGAGAAAACTGGAGATGTTCAGTCACATCTACCTGCAATTGAATACTGCCAGTATCCTGCAATTCCTTCTGCTAAGGAAATTTCCATGGATAGCATGTATGTAGATGGAACGCCCATGCTCTATCCCTTGATGCAACACGCTGAGCTGCACCATGGTGCTGCATATGAATTTAATAATCCATCAGTTGAATTTGGGCCTGCTCATGATATTCAGCAAACTCAGATGGAGATGAATGTACTACAGATTAGGCCAGAAAATGTGGTTCACGTATCAGCACCAGGTAGAAATGAAAATGAAATTAATGGAGAATTGCACCATTATGTGAAAGACATATTTCATAATGAGCAAGATAGAGCTTTTCATAATCCCTTTGGTTCTCCAACAAGTGATCCATCGTTTTATGGTGGATTTCACAGCCCCTTTCAACTCCCATTTGATGGTACAAGTTCACTAGAGGAACTGCTTGATGATGACTTGATACAGTACTTTGGAGCTTAGATTTGAAAATTTAAGATGTCTGAGCATAGATTGCAAGTAATATTTTTCTCTTCAACCCCCTGTTTCATTTATAAATGATTCATAATCTTGTTTCCAAGGTTTTATTTTATGTTAGTTTTGCAGGAACTGCGAAACTATGCAATCATCTCTGACCTGGATGGAGGAATTTCTCTTATCCATTAGTTTTTCTAGTGCAGGTGTTTTCATTTGAATATGCAAAGACTGTAAGTCAAGTCAAATTTTCTAATTTAGTTCGAAAAACATTATATTTTTGTGTCCTATTCCCAGCTTCCCCTGAATGGTAATTTCAATAAAGAGGTTCATGTAAATGTTTCAATTTTAGAAGCTGTCCATTTGACAAATTTCTGACGTTTTCCTTGTTTCCTTAAGACAAAATAGCCCATTAGTCAATATATTCCTTTCCATGTATATGAATTTCCATCTATATATAGTTATTATGTAGACAACTTATTATTTCTCAACCCATCACCGCCTTACTAATGGCCTAAGTTCAGCTTTTGATTATTTGTTTTATCTCCAGTGTTTTTGGATTTTTATTGGGCTAGTTTATTGCATGATAGATGCTTTGTCATAGTAGACTAGGGCACTTTTCTTGGGGGTAGCTCTTAAAGGATCCAATCCTCACGTGTAAATATGGATAACTTTATTCAAATTCTTATACTATATTTTGCTTCCCTGGGTCACTGGAGGCCTCAAAACCAGCATTATTCCTCCCCAACTGCCTCCTGATCAGTCCACCCCAAGCAAAACACACCCAAGTAAAAAGGCAAAAAAAATAAATAAATAAAGGTGGGGTGAGGCTGGTGGAGGGAGGGAGGGTGGGAAAAGAATAGTTTTGGACCTTGATGATACCCTACAATTTTTCAATGAGCTTTGAAATTAGAATTTTTGAGCTAGGCAAAATAGAGAGATGGAGGAAAAAGAGAATTTTGGACCTTGATGATATTCTACAATGAACATTAAAAAAAACAAGGTCATTTAAGCTCCAATATGGAGATTTTAGTAAATACTCATTCCAACTATTTGTCATTTGTTCTCCACTTATGAGATTGGGTTTTCTTGTTGGCTTTTATACTTTGTTTGCTACTCTAATCTCAGATTTAGGATAGGATACAGTTTGGTTAAATATTAGTCCTTTCTTTATGTCTGTCATATTGAACAGAGGTGGTGAATTGGGTGTATCAGTGGGCTTTGAAAGTCTCAGATCTCAGCCAAAGCAATTTATCAATAAATGTTTTGTTAGGTTGGGCTGTGGAGAGAGAGAGAGAGAGGTATTGTATGTAACGGAACTGAGCTGAGCCAATACAATGATAAGCTCTAAAAATGGAAAATGAAACTAAGGAAAAACTAAATGAGAACCCACTAGAAGAAATAAAAAATGTAGAAACAAATAGAAAAGACTAAAGTGGGAAAGGAAACTGAAATAGAGGGATATTTGCTGCCATGAGGTACTGTGTTTGAAATAGAGAGAGTTGAATGGAAAATAATTGGGTGCTTGGGGTTCAGGCAGTTGTTGTCTGAGAGAGATGGCTTAAGGTTTCTTTATGTTACCAGGTGGAAGCGTCCCGTAATAGCATATTACATAAATAAACTTTTTTATTCAAAACTAGGGTTTGCCACTTGAACTGGAGAGTAAATAGCTAGAGTGTAAATACTCAAGGAATCAAAGCTTGATAGCTAAATATAGAGTTTAATTCAGTTGATTTATGTAAACACTCATTAAAGGTGACATTTAGGTTTAGGGTTCAAATCTCAACCAGGAATCCTTTTCTCTATCTTCAAGTCATGCTCTCTCTTATATGGAAAAAAAAAAAAAAAAAAAAGGAAGGGAGTAGCTCTATCTTCAAGTCATGCATGTACGTGTTTACTCTACTAAATCCTGATGTCAATTGGTTGTGCGCGTAAGAGATTTTGCTGCAAGTGCTCTGCTATTGGTTCTTTATTATTCCCTTGTTGTTTTGTTATAATCATATAGCAACCACAAGTTCTACGATCATCACTGTGTTGTTATTAGTGAAATCTCTGATGAAGCGAGGACCTGCAAATGGTAGTTAATTGTTACTAGTAACTTGAGAAGGAATACAAAATAAGACTTGTTAAGCATGTTGATATTAGTTTTGGTCATCCCTGTGTTGCTCATATCAAAACCCTAACATTGTACTGACTTTGAGGTTGCGAATGATATAAGTGCCGTGCCTGGAACTCAGTTTTTTTAGTTTTTTTTCTTTTTTCTTATTATACATGTGATTTTGGGTTATACGGTAAGGAACTGAACCACCATTACTGCATTAGCCACCGTCTATTGGAATTAATAATAAAGTGCAAATCAACTTGGCTTAGCCTTTTGTGAAATGTTTGTTATCTTTAGGATTTTATCGCATATCTGGCGTGGTGCAGTGAAATCTAGTTTCCTTTTGAGTGCTAATTGTACCATGGTGGTGCATTGAAATCCAGTTTATTTTTTAGTACTAATTGCACCATGGGATGCCCTTGAATAGCAGTCCGCCGTGCAATTGCTCCTTGGTACAAATCGAAGGGGAAGGGTCCAGTTAGCAACTGGAGGAGAAGGGCTCAGTTAACAATTGGATCTTTGGGTAGTCGATTGTATTAGTGTAAAAATAAAAAAATTTTACTGTCACTATTAAATTGGTTAATTTTATCGTATTTTCATTGCCAATTTTAATTTCATTATTATTGTATCTAATTTCACTTTAATTTTACTTTAATCCATTATTTCTTATATTTTAAATCTTATAAGAATGAGTCTCATCTTCATCTAAACTTTTAGTTTTGTGGTTTTGTTTGAGGATGAAACTTTTGGTTTTATGGTTTTATTTGAGGATGGTTTCAAAATCTTTCGTATGATTTAATATTTTCCTCTAGAAGGTATCCAAGCTGGAACTTGCAAGCTTTATATAATCTGTCCGGTTGGAGTAGGGTTTTGTTGCTATTCTCTTAATTAAATATATGATCTCAACTTTTTTGTTGAATGCCTAAGAAAAAAAATGAAATTGACCAATAAACATCTTTATGAAAGCATGTAAACAACATGGCTTGTTAATTGTAACATTTCTTTGCATGATTTGAGATCCTTTTATTGAAAAAGGAAAAAAGGAAAAATTAGTGAGAACTTCTACAATAAGTTAAAATTTTTCACTTTATTATAAGATTATCGAATAATAACTGTTAGATATATAAGAATTAATATAAATCATTGATTGTTTTTTAATTGTAAAAATAATTAATTTTTTTGTTAATTTATTAACTTAATTTTAATTAATTAACATTAAATATTATTTATTAAATAAAATAAAAAATTTAAAACTGCAAAGATTCTTCTTATTTAATTTGCTTATCTTTTTTATAATTTTTTTTATTTTGTTCTTTATTTTTTTATATGTTTTGTTTTTTTGCCTGACTTCTAGTTTTTTATCGACTTCTTTTTAAAGGTTTTTTAGAATTTCGTTTATTATCTTAAACCAAAAAAATAATTTTAAGTCGATAAATAAGTGTTAACATAAAAATATAAGAATAATCATAAAATTTGCATCATTTGACATAAAATATGTTAGAAGTATCTTAACATAGAAATGTGAGAAAAGTCGTAAAATTGGTGTAATTTGACATAAAATGAGTTAGCGGTGTTATAATATTCTAACAAAAAATTTTGATAATTCTAAATGTGATGAAAGAAAAAACACAATCATAAAAATTATTGTAATATAAATAATTAAGTTGGTAATATAAAAAAATTATTATTACAAATAAAAATAATTTTAAAAAAGTAAGAGTTAACATAAAAGGGTGAGAATAATCGTAAAATTAGTATTATTTAACGTAAAATGATTATAAATATCATTACACCTAAAAAAAATTATAATAATTCTAAACGTAATAAAAAAATAACAACAAACGTAATAAATTGATAACGTAAAAAATTAGTATTATAAATACAAAATAATTCTAAATACAAAATAATTGTTAACATAAAAAAGTAATAATAATCGTAAAATTGATATCATTTGACATAAAATATGTTAGAAGTGTCATAATACTTGTCATAACGATTGTGAGGACTGTTAGATGATAAATTTTTAAAAAGTTTCAAAACAAGAAGAGTTACCACTAATATTTTTGTATAGTGTGATCGATTACCTAAAAATTTATCTTTTTAATAAAATAATAAAATGAGTTTAAAATTTATCAAAAATATAATTTCAATATACAAAAATAGAATTGGATTTGGAAGTTAGTTATGTTTGGAGAAGGATTAACACCTCCATAATAACATAAAAATTGATACCAATCGATCATATATTATCCTAACTATTGATAAAAAATAGTCTTAATTTTAATATTTAAAAACATTTTTTTCCTATCCATGTTTTTAGAAAATCGTTTATTATTGGAATAAGATGAAAATCTTTAATATTGAAATATTTTCTAATTTTTCAATATCTAGTCAGAATTTCAAAAAATATTTCTTTATCTAGAATTCTCATAATATTTCTTAAAATTTTGTGTAATATTCTGTCATGAATAATTATTGAAAAGCCTTAAAATATCTAGGTAGGGTTTTAACTTTATTTTCACACAAATATATTAACCATTTTTTTATACACATGAAAACAAATTTTCAAAATTATCAAAATAATAACTCACATTTTGCAAGATAAATAAATGATGCTAATGCCATTAATAATCTTACCTTATATGCATTTGACCTTACATATATCATGTCCATTATTATTTATTATCATTATTATTTTAAGAGAAAATTAAAAATAAAATAAATTCCTTTTTTATTATTTTTGTAAAGAAAAATTTCCTATAATTCCTCAATATCTAGGTAAAATTTAAGAAAATTTATCTTTTAAAACATTATTTGGATTTCCTTCAATATTTAAGTAAGGTTTCCAAGATTATCATTTTTCTTAATAAAACATTTTTTAAATACTATGCAATTCAGAGACAGTTAATAATATATGCAATGGATGATAACAAAATATTAAAAAAAAAATTCACATGACGGCAATAAGGAAAATAAGTGCCATGAAATCAATACAATATACCACAAATCATGCAATTGATATATCTAGCCAGTTTCAATCTTTTTTATTTATTATTTTTTTTATTGGAGAAGAAAGGTCTCTTTTAATTGTCTAATATTTATATCTGAGTAGAATTTAAAAAATTAGTCATTCAAAACATAATTTGGATTCTCTCTAATATTTAGGTAAATTTTAAACTTTGAAACCTCTTATAGCACTACAAACCGAAACCCCCTCTCCGATGTTGCTTTTGTTTTTGTTTCGTTTTTTCCTTATGCTTGTTCTTGGACTTGGACTATGGTTATTGAATATTGTTTTTTTTATGGTCTTCATTGGGTTGTAAAGAAAAAAAAATGAAATGGGCAAAATTTTTTTTTTTTCTAGTTTTCGATTATAGTGGTTGAGTTGGTTTTTTGGTAATGGTTGTGGCCATTGGATTCAAGGGCTCGATAGTGATGACTATTAGATTCTGTTTGCTTACTCTAAACAATTAGGTGATTTAGGTTAGGGTTAAATTGATCCAAAAAAGAAAGTTTTTTTTTTTTTTTATTGATTTTAGGTGAATCAATTTAGGGTTTAGGAAATGTAGTAAGAATAAATTGTTTCAAATATGATTTTTGGGATAATTATTTTATTTTTAAGATATTTTATCAGTTAAAATTAAAAAATTTGCATCAAATTAAAATTACACATAATTAGAATATATATTTCCTCTATTTCATTTTTTATTTATTTTTT